GAAAAATATCTGCAAAATAGTTTTTGCTTAATATTAGATTGAAGAGGTACGCATTCGCTTTGAATCTTAGTAGCCATTCTTTATCGCATGTTGTTTAGCGTGCGAAAATTTTCTTTTTTATTATGAATGGTTACAGGTGACTGACAGTATAGCAGAATTCTTGCCACTTGTCATGAGTATTGATTGAAATGTCTGCTTCACTCTTTTCTTGTGTAGCTGCCACATGGTATTGATCGTACGATATCTTGTTAAATTAAATTTTCACAGGTCGTAAAAGTTGATCGCTTTGGTAGACAATACGTCATAACAAGTAATAAAAGCCGTAACAAATTTCGAACGTCCAACAACGATAATTATATATGCATTGAAATACTGTTCATTATTCACATTTATCTAAACTTTCCAATGCAGGTCGTTTCTGAACGATCCGCTTCGCGTAATGCGTGAACTCCAACAAGGTTCTTTGCCGTCAGTAAGCAGTATATCAGAGATCGATCTGCGACGGTTTCGCGGAAAGGGCGAGAAAATTTTTTGCAGTTAATACACCGCCTTCATCAGAAGAATAAAAATTGCATAAAGGACTTTTGAAAGATTTAAATGTTCTTCTCCGGAAGGCTTAAAATCGAAATTAATCGATTACTGTATGCTCTCTTTGCTAACCTCTGGGCGCGAAACGTTGACCCTACGCCTGAAAGTTATTCGTAAATTACAAACTACACAACGCAATATGAACAGGTATATTTTGGTAATAGCAGTAAAGGGCGAATGAAATTGTAGGATTACAGATAAGAGTCTGCGTCATTACTGGAGTGAATAAGTTAAATTGGCAATGGGCATAATATATTGCAAGAAGAACGTTGAACCAAAAATAAGAATTGGTTCCAAAACGGGGGTCGGTATAAAGACCTTCAGACCTATGGCAGGATTAAATAAAATTCTATAGATAAAGATGGATGAGATTCGCAGAAAACAGAAGTATGTGGCCATATTTTAGAGAGGCTTTCATCGAGCAGTAGATCGACAGAGACTGATGAAGATGATGACAACCCCGGCTATCAGTTAAATTGCTGTCGTGTTATGCAGAAGGTCCACCGTCTTAACGGTTGCCCGCATTGCATTTGAATCGTTTCAGAGTGAATGCAAAGTAACGGTTCAAAGAAGAAAGGCGTGCGCAACACGTAAAGGTTAGTTATGAATAATCCTATTGTGTTCGAGAACAATTACTTGGTAAGGTAAACAGTTTAACATAGATGCAGCACAGCTGCATGTTCAATGATTGGCTCGTGGTACATCAAGATGTATGATTAAACTACCGTGAGTCGTTGTACGAATGCTTGTTTCTGTCATACATTAAATCGACTTACGCTTGGCTGATCAAACGCTATTTCATTCTTTAGTTATATATATTTTTTGCATAAACGTATTTTGTTTTGTAGCTTTGGGTCGGCATGCCAGCTTGGTATGTTGCAGCATGTCGCGCGAACGTCAAATCAGGTGCCATAATGTCGGCTCTGTCCGATCAGGAGATTCAGCGCGAGATCGGCATATCGAATCCGTTGCATCGTCTGAAACTGCGCTTGGCTATTCAGGAGATGGTCGCGTTGACATCACCGTCGGCTCCGAAGGCCACTAGGACGTTGGCCTTCGGTGATATGAATCACGAATGGATCGGAAACGAGTGGCTGCCGTCTCTCGGTTTGCCTCAATATCGTTCGGCTTTCATGGAATGTCTGGTGGATGCACGAATGCTCGGACATTTGACCAAAAAAGATCTCAGAGTACATCTAAAAATGGTGGACAGCTTTCACAGGTATTGGTTGTGTTATTCTTTGCATATCATACATTTTCCATAAATCACGGTGTCAGACAGTTGAGCATGGTTAGTCGGCGAAGCGTACTGTTCCTTACGATCCGTTCAGAAATGGACGGGGGGGGGCTTTAGAATTTATGTCCAAACATCTAGTCAGGATTTTGTTTTAATGGGTAGGAATCCATTGCTACTGCGTTCAGTTATCATGCGTAATTATGCAGCGCTTCAGCATTGTAATAGACCAAGTATTGAAAAGTAATACCTAACAGCCCTCTAACATGAGAACGGTGCTGAAGCTCAAAATGCTTATTGGAGTCCTCGTTGTCGTGCACTATTCAAATGACACTGCCTACTGTGGACGGTGATGAACATCTATGGTCTATGATTCCAGCAATGTTCACATATTAGTTGATCCCCTGTAGGCAAAAGTAATGAAAAACTGAAAAGGTGCACAGGAAAGGAACATGTATTCGAAGACATTACTATCGTAGAAATCCCACATTTTCAGTATCTAGATGCGATAGTTTTGAACGACATTTTAAATGGAACTATCGTTTTGGCTTTTCTGACCT